CCCCAAAACCCCAAAACCCCAAAACCCCAATATTCCTAACTCATATTGAATAATATTAGAATTTTTAGAGAATAAGATGCAAGGTAGTTCAAGGTAATAAAGGGTTTTGGGGATATTTACAAGCAGAGTTTTAGGTGTAACCATTGCTTATAGTTTAAGGTCAAGGAACAAAGTAGTCGCCCTCAAAAAAGTCTTCGTCAAGAATGAACATATATTATGTATGTAAAATAATTATAGCCTTAGCTGCTACAACTGGGTTCAAAGGGATCAAGAAAAAGAATTAAAGTGAATAATCAAATGCTCATGTTTGATAAATAAGATAGGGGATAGTCTAGCAGAGTCATTTAAGAGCTCTCCGATTAAGAGGAAATATGAAACCTGAGCTCCTCCTCAAGTATATCGAGAAAATTATTTATAGGAACCACATCTTATATTTAAAAATACTACCAAAGCCAGAAACAGCAAGAAGAGCATAATAAACGAGGTTGCCATGATACCGATAGACTTTTAATATAAATCAAGAATTTTCAAACAGAAGGTATGTATCTATTTTGCAACTTGCTGATTTAAATCTATAGAGCTAAAAATAAATTAGGCCTCAGATTATCGCAAAATTTTCCATTTAAAGACATCAAAGATCAACTAAAATCTCTCAAAATGTGGAATAATAACAATATCAGATTAAATTATTACAGAATGAATGAGGGAAGTAGCACTCTATCTGCTTCTAAAAGCACTCAAAGAGAAAATAATTTCTTTAAAAACAAGAAAAATGCCAGAAAAGTATTTAAAAACAAAACCCAAGAAGGAATAAAAAATAAGAAGCTGATTAAGAAGAAAGAGCTACATGCTGAGAAGAGAATTCCTACAAATCTAGCTTATAGGTAAATCAAAATAAGATTATGCTTGTTGAAACAACTATACTTTAAAGCTAAACTTATTTTATAGGAAATCTTCCTCTGTTGAAGACATTAATTACGACAAATATCTCAAGAAAGCAAAATTTTTAGAAAACTTTGAAAAACCAATGCTGAAATATAGTCAGCATTCTATAGGAGGAAAGGATATGAAGAATTTCAAACATCTTAGTAGATAGAATTGATATTTTAGATGGATATAAAATATATCAGATAAACCCAGAGAAATTCAAGCCAAGCAGTATAGAAACTCAAATCAGAATAGAGAATTATATGATAGACCAAAGACACTTACGCAAACTTCATCACTATTTCAAAGGCTCAAAAACAGCCAAAAACGACCCCAAAAGAAACTTTTCTCAAGAAAATATCCCTCAGCCTTCCTCACCCCAGAACCCCCCACAAGAACAAAGCTACCTTCAATTCCAGCCGGTTACCACTAAAATCCACAAAATTCCAAGAATCCCTTCCAAAAGAATAATAGTGAGTTCTCATCGTTCAAATCGGCAGGATGTTTCGAACTCTTCTTCTGATAGGTCTTCTCCTGTGAACCTTCTTCCTCTCAATATCAAAACATGAGATGGGCCGAATCAGGGATCCAGACTTGATAAGGAGACATCTGAGCGTCCTCAAAAGACAGTTAAACAAGTTAAGTTTCGCAAATTACCCAAGGCTTTGAACCTGAAAGGTTCAAAGCTAAAGGCTAGTTTGTTAAAAGCTTGTATGAAATCTAATTAAGACCTATATTTTCAATTCAGAGAGTACTGAAGGGGTTTTGGGGTTTTGGGGTTTTGGGG